TCATTTGGGGGATATCTGTACTGTTCTGACATTTTTGGACCTCAAGAAATTAGATTGGCTGTCAGTACTTCAGGATTGATCAATTTTCAGATATATCCCATAATTTGTGAACTCTATAACTTTCCTACAGACTAAATAATAAATACTAATTTGGGTTATTTTCACCAAAGAAATTTAGCAGAATACATCTTGGCCTAAATTTATGAAAAACAATTATTTATCTGCAATTCTGTTATTTATAACAGAAACAAAGAAAAACCAATTTTTTCAAAAATTTTGTTTTTTTTTTGTTAATTTAGCAAAAAATAAAAACCCCAGTGTTGATTAAATACCACCAAAAGAAAGCTCTAGTTGTGTGAAGAAAATGATAAAATTTTAGTTTGGGTACAGTGTTGTCATTCAAAGTGTGAGAGCGCTGAAACTTGGCCTGGGCAGAAAGGGGGTAAAAGTGCCCTGTATGGAAGTGGTTTTTAACTAGGTTAGTTCAGGATTCTTTAATGACCTATGGGGATGATTTACTAAAACTGGTGAGTGCAAAATCTGGTGCAGCTCTGCACAAAAACCAATCAGATTCCAGGTTTTATTGTCAGATCTTAATTGAACAAGCTGAAGATAGAAGCTGATTGGCCACCATGCACAGCTGCACTCTCCAGTTTTAGTAAATCAACCCCAAAACAGATTTGAATGCTTTAATTACATTTAGTAAGAGCTTAGTTACAGCAAAATGATTAATGCTTTTGGTCATTTTTATGAAATGAATATGTAAATAGGTAGGCGCTGCAATGATTATATAATACAGATGAAAAATAGAGTGAACTAGCAATATCATCAAACAAATGGTAGTCCTGAACAAAATATGATGAATAGTGAACATAATATATCATGGTGACAGTCCCATAAAGGTGTAGTCCCATAGACCAAAAATACGCTCTTTCACCACATACAGGCAGCAAGTGAATTTCTCACTCAACAGAAAAAATTTACCCCAGTTAAGAAGGTGGTCAAATATCGCTTTGTTATCATAAATATTGATGACCAGCAACAGGCTCTCCTGGATCAGACCCTCCCGGTCTCCTAATAAGAGATATGGATCCAGGGGATCAAAGATGACTGCCCCCAGTTGGGTAATCACAAGACTCTGGGTGCACAAATGGTGGAAGTCAGCAGCAAGAAATCCTATAATTGCAGACTTTTACAAAATAGGTACCGTACTTACTAGCTCAAGAAATCCAGTGCTGTCTTTGTGCAACCTGAAGGCTTTAGCTCTGTCTACTATCCCGAGCTGCCATTTTGGATTTAGGTACTGACTGTGACTTCCAGCCTCCTACTGGGAATGTAAGAGTTGTACTGATTGGAGCCTCCTGGGATGAATGGCCCGTCCCCAGAGGCTGCATATAGGGAAGAGGGGGGATCCGAAAATGCCCCAAAAATCTTCCTTGCTTAGGAAAGGAATAGGGAAATGTGAGCAAGTACCTGGTGATGTCATTGTAACGAGATAATCAATGTTATTCCCTTAACGTGGTTGTAAACCTTGGACATGAAACATGAACTAAGCATATTCCTGTATAGTGTGTACTTGTCTCAGTTAAGTGACACTAAAACTTTGCTTTTTATTTTTCTTTTTAACAACAAACATGTCTATACTTACCTGTTCTGTGTGGTGATTTTGCACAGAGTAGCCCCAATCCTCTTCTTTTCGTGTCCCCGTTGGTGCTCCTGGCTCCTCCCCCCTGAAGAAGTACTCCAAGGGAAAGCCTTGGGGGCACTGCTGCATGCTTGTCCCCAAGCTGCTGCTCTATGAGTCCATAAGACACATAGACCTGGAGCTCAGACCCAACCAGCCCTCCCACTCTTTCCTTATTGGCTCACTGGTTATGATTGACAGCAGAGGGAGCCAATAGACTCTGGCTGCTGTCTCAGTCAATGAGAAGGAAGAGTCCCCAGACAGCAGAGAATGTCAAGAACATTGCTGGATTGGAGGGGGCTCAGGTAAGGATTGGGGGGGCTGCTGCACACAGTAGGTTTTTTAGCTTCATGCATAGAATACATGAAGTTAAAAAACCTTGAGCATTTAGAACCACTTTAAGAGCACTAAGTGTCATTTCTGTCTGCCTCCTTCCTCTGCTTTCGGCATGAATCACTTCTGACAAGTTTTCCTGAAACCAAAAGAAAAATGGTGGCGGAGGAGGCACGTCCAGCTGATTGACAGCCTCAGCTCTGATCCCACGAGCTGTGTGGAGGGGAGTATGTATCTTCCCTCCAATCAGCTCTCAGAGCTCTCCTCACTGATGTACCTTCAGCTGTCCACCACCTGCTTTTCAGAGCTGAGAGATCCTATGTAGATTCTGCACTTTGAATGGATGTGGGGAAAGACAACTGCAGATAAATCAGGTGTGAGGTTCCTTTTAGCTGGAGCCCTCTTGTAGTGATATCAATGCCCATATAATGTATATGCCAGGTTATGATGAGCCTAGTGCAGTTGGGGCATAAGAGACTATTACTCTACAACTATGCATATGTAGTCAGCACAACCAAGGCTCTGCTCAGGGCAGTAGTCCCAGGGGAAGTGTACCGAGTTCAGTAAGAGCAGCTACAGCAGTCCTGTCTCTGGAACGACTAGTGGAGAGAGTCATGAATTAGATGCATAAAGCCCGATGGGCAAGTCAGAGCCATCTGAACGAGTAATAATGACTCTGGGAACCGGACAGTAACTTCAGGGAGCAATCCCTATTGGTAGAGCTATGGATTGGGACTTGAAAGAAAAGGCTGGTATGCTATAGCAGACGCCTTGTTAATCTCGGCTGACAGAGCAGGATGCTTCACATTGTTTGAATACAGCAGAATGCTACAGATATAGTATACAAGGAGATGGGACCCAACACTGTGGTGTTCTCAAGGAGAGAGAGACTATGTAAAAGGGAAGATGGCTTAAGAGTGATGTGCAACGTGCTGCTTTCACATAATGACTGCCGCAGTAAGTCCACCATAGGTGTGATTGGCATAGTAATGTCAAGCAATCCCCAGATAGTATGTCTATATGATGTGATGTGTAATGCCAATTCCTGAAGAACATCAGTGAGTACTATTTGTGTGGACATTCCTTTCTCTTGAATATAAAGGTTGATGGCTGGGGATGTTGTGCGAAGGCCTCCAGTAAGGACATAGGTGGAGGTAAAAGGCTGCCAGCAGGGGGGTTGCTGTCCTATCTTAGAAAGAATGGGGCAGTGGCTTGTACCACTTGCCGCCAGTCATCAGCCAATTACAAGCCCACTTACAGGGTTCCTTCAGATGTTGCTAGGGGCTCCTTAAGCAGTGAGCCTCTGCTTCTCAGACAAGTAACCACTGTTACCAATAATCATTTAACTATCTTTAAAGGGAGGATTCTTCCTATTGACCACTAACATAAGCACTGCTGTGGATAAGGGGGTACCACCAATTCTCCTACATGGGGCCTAGGCCAGCAGGGGGGCCCAGACACCTGGGTGAATTTGATGTGGGGCAAGGAAGGTGATCGGCATGGTGGTGGTGGGGGGGGGAGGGCAATTACTAGAATCGATCCCATGTTTGGCTTTCTCTGCAGCAGCTGAAAAGGCTTCTTCTCCTTTCCTTCCCACTGGCTTTCATCTGCTGCAGAGAAAATTATACAGGGGGTTGGTTCCAGTAATTGCCCCCACCGCACCCATCACCCTCCCAGTGACCCATATGTGTCCCCCTGCGGTCCATGCCCCCCTGTGTGCCCCCACCCCCACAGTGCTGCCAGCTTCCCTCCTCTCCTACCCACCGGCAGCTGTAATCACACAATATGATTGTTCAGGATGGAGAGTGGGGGAAGGGTCTGGTAAATATGTCACATTTACCATCCTCTTCCTTTCCTGAAGTAACACAATGAGTGATTGGTACCGATCAATCACTGTGTTCATTCATAACTGAAGCATAGCAAACTGTGTTTTTTTTGGAGGGGGGCCCTGTCAGGTTGGCTGTATGGGTCCCCATGGTTTCTAACCGAAGCCCTGAACATAAGGAGCATTCTTCCCACTGACCTTCATGCTAATGTATATATTCAGCTATATTAATTATTAGCAGGGGTTTCGTGAGACTAGAAAGTTGTTTCAAGGATTCCTCAATGTTAAAAACATTGAGAAAGAATGCTTTACAAGATTTAGACCAAAATATTATAAATAAGTAAACCCCCTAGGCTACCCCTAGGTTCTGTGCTTTTCATATGGTGCCGCCACTATACTAAAGCTGGTTAGGCTGAATGAACTGATTTCCCCATCCACACATTTGAGGTGTATGGTTGAGTCCTTCCCACTGTGTCATTGTATTCTGACAGTGGAAGAGTCAGCTGAAAATACACTGATCAGCGCTGTAGCTATTAGTTGGAGCACTAATCATACTATAGTTTTCTAGCAAGCCCGTTCATGAGCAGTTACAGTATTTAGTAGATCAACTGCTATTGAACAGAACTGGTCATAGATGGATCAAGGTTTAGCTGGTCCCTGGTGAACTATCTGACTTTTAATTCCATCCATGGCCAGCTTAAGAGGTTGACTTACTAAGGTCTTATTTAGACTTATGGTTGGGGGAGGGGGGGGGGGGGCGACGAAAATGCGCAGTTGAGATGTGTTTTTGCAGCCTGCCAATCCCCCCCACATAAACATACTTCTTAAGCTGCAGAGGGGGATGTTTCCATGCCATGGGCCACAATGCTTTGTGGCCAGGGCTAAGTTGACCAGACATTAAAGTCATTGGGGAAGCACCACAACTGCATGCAATGCACATGGTTATGGTCAATTTGCCAACAAAAATGGGGTTAAAACAGGTGTTGAGGGGGTGTCACATTGCTTCCTTACTGCCTGTCAGCAGTGTCTACTGGCTACTGAAGTGGTGCAGGGGCGGACTGACAACTCATGGGGCCCCCGGTCAATAGGGGATCATGGGGCCCCTGTGTCCTTGCCCAAACTCAAAAAAGCCTGTGAAAAAGGTACCAGGGGCATCTCATGGGGCCCCCTACTGACCCCGGGCCCTCGGGCAGTGCCCGAGTTTCCAAATGGTCAGTCCGCCCCTGGGTGCAACACCTCCTCACCATCTGTCAGTAGCAGGGGCAGACTGACAACTCATGGGGCCCCCCGGGCAATAGGGGATCATGGGGCCCCTGTGTCCTTGCCCAAACTCAAAAAAGCCTATGAAAAAGGTACCAGGGGCATCTCATGGGGCCCCCTGCTGACCCCGAGCCCTCGGGCAGTGCCCGAGTTTCCAAATGGTCAGTCCGCCCCTGGTCAGTAGCCTCTGGAGCACGATCCAAATGCAAATCTGGCTTCAAGGCAAGGGAGATTTAGACACATGTGTAAATATGTCCTAAAGGCAGCTAGTATGTTCACTTTGCAAGGGAAGTGGCCCCAGTGCTTAGTGAATGAGGTAAAGATCTGCTGACTTCCATTATCCAATCATTGCAAACAAAAAATCTTTTTTTTTTTCCTGGAATGTGATTTGGTATTCTTTGCAAAGTGAAACCACCACAATCGTTAAGCTCTGGGGCCAATTCCCTTGCAAAGTGAACAGCCTATTTGCCTTTAGTAAATCAATCCCTCTGTGTTTCACTCAAGTTTTGCATTTGCTATCACTTATTCATTCAGAAGGTGTGTTTTTACTAGACACCACACCAAAGATGAACCATTATAATAAAGTAAGTAGCATGCATTACATATTTTTTCCATATGTTTGTACAGTTTAATATATGCAACATTCCCTTTTTTCTGGTACAGCTGTCTGCAGTTATCTACCACTAACAGCGTTGTATCCATCTGAACATTCCATTGTCAACTGCAGATAACTGTAGACAGCTGTAGACAAGGATCATGGCTACTGGATAGAAACAAATATTACCCCATTGGTTGCAATGGATGCTTCAAAATCTCACTACATGCCTATATATGAAACCTGTATACCCAATGTGCCTTACATGTAGAATATTAATAATAGTGGGGTTTACGAATATTGCCGTGCTGTCCTGAAGTCCCGTGTGTTATTCTCATCAAATGCAACATCACTTTAGAATTTGTGTTTGACTGTGGAGGAGATTTACTAAAATTGGAGCACTCAGAATCTGCTGCAGCTCTGCACAGTAACCAGTCAACTTCATCTTGTTCAATTAAAGTGGTTCTAAAAGCTCAAGGTTTTTTATCTTCTTGCATTCTATGTATAGAATGCATGAAGGTAAAAAATCTTGAGCCTTTAGAACGTGACTTTAAGGGTGCAACTGGCTTTAAAGTAGAACCCTCAAAAAAATCTACTCAGTTTAACCGCCTCCCGCCCGCCATATAGTACAATGACGGGCGCAAGCCGGTTCTCTCTCATATGACGTCCTCCCATTCTAACCACGCATATGCGGCTCCGGGAGCTCGCAGCGGGGCGGTCCGCGGTGCGCTGTGTCCCTTGGACACAGCGGATCACCGATCAACGGAAAGAGCCGAAGAGGTTGGCTCGGTCATGTGATCAGCTGTGTCCAATCACAGCTGATCTCATGTAAATAGTGAAATGCCGGTTATCGGAGAGGAGAGCCGGTAATCGGCATTCCTCGGAGGGGACATGTACACAGATCATCAGAGCACTGATGATCAGTGTGCCCTGATGATCTGTGTAGCCCCAGCAGTGCCACCTGGCAGTGTCCATCAGTGCCAGCTGTTAGTGCTCATCCATTCCACCTGCCAGTGCCACATTAGTGCCACATTTCAGTGCTCATCAGTGCCATATCAATGCCCATCTGAGCTGCCTTTCAGTGTCACCCATCAGTGCCCCCTATCAGTGCCAGTCAGTGCCGCCTATCAGTGTGGATCAGTGCCGCCTATCAGTGCCCAGCAGTGCTGCCTATCAGTCCCGCCTAACAGTGCCAGTCAGTGCCACCTATCAGTGCCAGACAGTGGCGCATATCAGTGCTGCCTATCAATGCCATATATGAGTGCTGCCTTTCAGTGCCCATCAGTGATGCCTGTCAATGCCCATCAGTGATGCCTGTCAATGCCCATCAGTGCCACCTACCAGTGCCTCCTCATCAGTGCCCATCAGTGCTACCTATCAGTGCCCATCAGTGCAGCCTATCAGTGCCCATCACTACAGCCTAATTAGCGCACATCAGTGAAGGAAAAATCACTTATTTACAAAATTTTATAACAAAAACTAAGAAATTTTTTTTTTCAAAATTTTCAGTGTTTGTTGGTTTGTTTAAGAAAAAATAAAAAACCCAGAGGTGATTAAATACCACCAAAATAAAGTTCTATCTGTCACAAAACAATTCTAAAAATGTCATATGGGTACAGTGTTGCATGACCGCGCAATTGTCATTCAAAGTATGACAGAGCTGAAAGCTGGAAATTGGCCTGGGCAGGAAGGGGGTATAAGTGTCCTGTAGGCAAGTGGTTAAAATAGAAATGAAAGATAAATTGTGTATACTTATATAAAAAATGGAAAATACCTTTTATTTACCTTTTTATACGTGATCACATACCCTGTTCTCAGCTGCATAAGGAGTTCAGAGAGCAGGGGGAGTAGAAACAGTAGCACACTGATATTCCCAGTGAATGGCTGTGCCAGGAAGGGGGGTTGGGCTCATCAGCAGAAGTCTGAACCTTGGAGGAGAGCAGGCTGAGTTCCTAGATTAGCTAGAGAACTGACTACGCTGTGCTCTCATGCCTAACGTGGTCAGTTTTTAATAGGAAAGCAGAGGGACTGGCATGAACACCAAGGAATTCATGCAAAAGAAGTAAAATAAAGAACAGAATATTTTTTCATGCAAGTACATGGTATATAAGGCACATATCATGAATATGAAATGTTAGGTTTACATATTCTTTAAATGGCTCCTCATATATTTCTATTTACTTCTTTTCTGTTTAGGGATGAGAGAACTTTTCATTTTCCTCAAAATTAAATAGAAACTTGGGAGATTCTGCAAAATTTTGTTATTTTGGTAACATTCTTTGGGATGTATCTAAGTTGGTACATCCCAACTACCGTATTTTTCGCCGTATAAGACGCACCTGACCATAAGACGCACCTAGGTTTTAGAGGCAGAAAACAGGAAAAAAAAATTCTGAACTAATGGACTGCAGACACAGTACAGGAGATGACCAGAGACTGCGGACAGCACAGGGATGACCAGAGACTGCGGACAGCACAGGGATGACCAGAGACTGCGGACAGCACAGGGATGACCAGAGACTGCGGACAGCACAGGGATGACCAGAGACTGCGGACAGCACAGGGATGACCAGAGACTGCGGACAGCACAGGGATGACCAGAGACTGCGGACAGCACAGGGATGACCAGAGACTGCGGACAGCACAGATGACTGCTGACCTTTGGGGAGGTGGGGAGGTGGTACCTGAATTTGACAGGTACCCGCTCTTACTTCCGCAGAGTTTTTGTTTGATCTTACCTGTTCCTCGATCCAGCCGCGTGCTGTCTTCCCGGCTTCTGTAATGGCGCTCGGCATGACAGCCGGGTGCCCAGTGCGCATGAGCGAGAAGCACTTGCGCTTTGTGATTGGTCCGGCGGCTTCTGGGATCTGTCATGTGTCCCAGGTACCGCCTTACCATTCACAAAGTGCACCGCTTCTCGCGCATGCGCACTGGGCACCCGGCTGTCATGCCCAGTGCCCACACTACAGAAGCCGGGAAGACAGCACGCCGCTGGATAGAGGAACAGGTAAGGTCCCGCTGCAGAGCTGAGAGGCCGGCCCGGTATTCTGACATGGCCGCGGTGGAAATACCGGACCGGCCGCTACATATTCGCCTTATAAGACGCACTGACATTTCCCCCCCAGTTTTGGGGAAGAAAAAGTGCGTCTTATACGGCGAAAAATACGGTATGTGCTCCATAAAATCACAAGCAGAGATGTTTTGACACTATTATCGCTCTAGGCCAGTGGTCTCCAGCCCAGGAGTCAGATGCAGCCCTTCGCTTGCTTTTATCCGGCCCTTGGGACATTATTCCCCCCACCATCAGCAACAGTGGGGCATAGTTCCCACCATTGACACCAATAATGAGGCACTATTCCTTCCACTGACACCAACAATGAGGCACTATTCCTTCCACTGACACCAATAATGGGGCACTATTCCTTTCACTGACACCAATGATGGGGCACTCTTACTTTCACTGACAATAATAGGGCAATATTCCTCCCACTGACGCCAATGATAGGTCACTATTCCTCCTACTGTCACTAATGATAAGGCACTATTCCGCCTACTGACACTAATGATGGGGCACTATTCCGCCTACTGACACTAATGATGGGGCACTATTCTTCCCACTGACACCAATGATGGGGCGCTATTCCTTCCATTGACACCAATAATGGGGCATTCTTCCTCCCACTGAAACCAATGATGGGGCACTATTCCTTCTACTTACAGCAATGATGAGGCACTATTCCTCCCACTGACACTAATGATGGGGCACTATTCCTCCGACTGACACCAACATCGGGACACTATTCCTCCCACTGACACCAACAATGGTAAACTATTCCTCCCATTGATACCAGTGATGGGGCGCTATATCTCTTGTTAATACAAATGATGAGTCATTGTTTACTCCAACTGATGCCAGGACATTTTCTTCTCCCAATGGCCACAGTCCGGCCCCCCTAAAGTCTGAATGACAGTAAACTGGCCCTTCCTTTGTAAGATTTGGAGACTCCTGCTCTAGGCAATCAAGGGAGATTCTAGCCATCATTTTTATATTGACAGGTAAGTCTGCCATAATGTACTAACATGCTGTCTTTACTAACACATTATGGCATAACACACCTGGGGGCCCTTTAAAAAAAATATTTGGAACACTCTTTATAGTGCATAGACCCAGGACAAATTGGTGCTAAGGTAACAGGTAAACACTGATACTCACATTCTAAGAATTTATAAATATCACCAGCAGTCTGGGAGGGCTCAAAGGAAACAAGAGTGTCACTGATCCCTTAACAAGGGGTTCATTAGATGACCCAAAAACATTAAATTCTCTATTGGGGAAAAATAAAAGGTCTTCAATGATCATTTCCAGAGGCCTGGTTATAGTAATACATTTGTGGTACATTTGGATGTGTTTTTCAAAACACAGCATATAAAGGGCTACTAATAGTTATAAGAAATGATATTACAGATTTGTTTTCCCTGATACAGCAAATTGACATCAGCTTTATAGGGATTTTTTCTTCCTCTAGATCCCTAGTGCCCAACCTGGGGCCAAAGCACCATATGAGGCCCTTTTTTACTTGGTGAGTAGCCCTCGGACTCCCACAGTCCTTAGTGAAAGTGAAACTGTAAAGGGATTGTAATTGCAGAGATTTCTAGTGGTCTTCAGTGTTTGTAGGGCCAGGACAAGGAGGAGCAGAAGGGCACATGCCCTGGGTGCAAAGTTGAACATGTTGCAGGCTCAACATGGCGCCACTGGGAAGTAAGGGTAGACTGCTCTTTTTCCTATCTCCCCTTTTCGTGTGACATATCACATGACCAGAGATGGGAAGAAGTTGTCTTCATTCCTGGTGGGCACTGCACTCAGGAAGAGGTCTGAACTGGGTACACAGAAGGGGGGAGCATCTCAGCTCTAGGCCTTCCTTTTTTTCCTTAGGTTCCACCTTAAGCTCCACCCTCTCTTAGAGCCCTTTAGCCCCTCTTCCTTCACACAGCACCCCTAGATCCCTTTAGTTTCATGTACCCCACAGAGCCCACCTCCCCTTCTGCATCCCACTGACGTGAATGCCAAAACAGTTCCTCCTCAGACTGACCCTACCACAGGGGCATTTTTTTCCCACTGACATTAATGCAGCACCCTTTTTCCTCCCAGCAGCACCACAGACACAGTTGCAAAGTTTTAAGGGCTTGACACAAATACTAAATACACAGCTATTAGCTCCATCCCTTCCTTCACTCATGGAGGGGAGGGAGGAGGTGCTAGGTGCAATTTCCCATCTTTGCCCTTGGCACTGGATGACCTTGTCCTGGCACTGGGTGTTCCCAACCATATTTGTAGCCTATACACAAGCTTTGACCATATCCTGTGTTATGTTTGCAGTCACTGACAGTCTTCCATAGCATTACATACCATGGATATTTGTTTGGCCTATTGATGGTATTAAGCCCCGCACACACGATGAGAATATCGGGCGAATGATTGTCTATTTTTTTTTGCATGCTAGTCTCATCAAATGTGAAAAGGTTAATTGGAATTAAATTAAATTCAGAAGTGATGTAATGTATTTGTATTGTATTTTTGATTGGAAACTGTACTACTTAAAAGAAAAAAGTTTTGTGCTTGTCCATTCAAATAATTTTGGATGAAAGCTGTGTACTAATGATCAGATTATTTTATGATCGCTTTGAAAGTGGTATTTTTCGTACGATTTTCTGATCGTGTATACCCCTTTGAGGACCAAGGGATATATTTGTCCCATGTTTTTAATTGCCTGTATCATCTGATTAAGAACTTAAAATACTTTTTTTTTTTTTGGTTTGAGTCAAAATATTAGTTCTTATCAACAAATGGATCTAGCTTTTTGCCAATTATTTCATGAAATGGCTTAGTTACAGCAACTGAAGTGTACAAACTTTAAAAACAAAAAATTGATTCTTTTGGTGTTCCGTAATCTTATGGTCCTCAAAGGGATACTAGGCTATAGGGTCCAGAGTTGAGGTCCCGTACACCTTGTAGGTTAATGATCACTGCTCTAGATCAATTGCAGATTTAGGGCTCCTTCAAGTAAAGCTCTTTCACTTTTTTGTGTTTCATTTTGACGATCATGTGTCTTTTATTTAACCTGATTAACAATGCTATTGTGTAACGGTAGTTTCTTCAGCCAATATGGAATACCAAAAAGAGCAGAGGACACCATGATAGGTGTTGTCATCAAACCTGACCCCAGACTATATTTTGAATTCTTCTTGTTCCTTGGTGATTATTTCCATATAAAAGAACAATCTCTCTTTCCATAGTAATCACAGAGGCTCGATAACATCAAGACATGCTAACTCCTGACAAATTATCTAATCCAGATGTTGCACAATCAGTGTAAACATCGTCCCCAGTAGGACCATAAAATCAATGACTCCGGGTGGGTTTAAGGTTTCAGGTTGTGCCTCACCTTTGCTGCTTCCCATCTCTGAAAACAGGAAAATGTAAATATGGTAATGCGTAGCACGTGTGTGAAACTGGATAGGTTTTCAGCTTGTATTCACT